GGGGGCACTCCGACGATCAAGTCAGTATATCTCTCAAAGATAATCAAGTTCTAAACTCACTGCTCAAAGCATAAATTGCGTACCTTAGACCCACGGAAGTGCCTCTCTTTTATAGTTTACTCAATCCTAGTCATGCTAGAAGCCTGACTTCTATGGACTCCAATTCAGTACTTACTTTGGACTTCTCAAGAGATAAAGATAAACTCCCTAAGAGCTTTATCTTCATCTTGACTAAGTCTCCTCTTCATTCTAGGACTCTTGTCCCTTATCCGTTTATCTCGGATTCCGATATCTTCGGAGATAACCTCGGCAACTCTGAGATAACCTCGGCATAATGACCAGGACACGTGGCACCTTAGCTGACACATCGGCGTCACCTTGCCACGTGTTGGTACTCAGAATATATATCCCCACAGGTCCCACCTAAAAAATAGAGCAAAATTGAGGAAAAACCTAATTTCTAAAACCATTTCTAACCATGTTTGCCATAAGAATTTTTTACTATTTTAGCTTCAAAAAGACAAAATATATTAAAAAATTAACAAGACAAAATATCATATTTAAATCATAATCATTTTATTTTTTCTTTTATAAAAATTTAAAAAGTCAAAAAATTCATCTTAAATAAGACTATTTAACCGTAATTAAAAAATTTAAAAAGCTAAAAAATCAACAAACTCTCAACCAAAGGCTAAATCAACGAGTTAGGTGGGCAAGGAATTTGTCATTAATTCTTTGTCATCATCAGTATATTTAGGTGTTGTTTGGAATGACCTAAATAAGTGTATTTTTTACCTTTTTATAAAAAAATGTGCAGAAAAATAAAAAAATGATGTGATAAAAATAAATAAAAAGATAAAAAAATAAATTATTTGAAGTACGTCAAACTTGGCCTTAATTAGTCCCCCCTTGTTTTTGACATCTCTATAGTAATTAGCCATTCAATTTATTTTTAGCCAATTTTCTTTAATGAAGGTGGTGTGACAGGGCAGAGAAAAAATGCATGTGGAGGAGAAGCAAGAGTTGGGAAAGGCAGTATGAGAAAATGCCAAGAAAATGTTCATTTCATATGCATCAATAAATTAGGGTGGATGGATCGCTTTCGGGTCACGTTATTTTGGCGGATTAAATTTAATGAGATTATTAGTAAGAAGATAATTAATAAAGAGATTATTAATGTGAGAATTATTAGTAAGAGAATTATGTAAAAGTATATTTATTTTGATGATAGGATGAAAAATGATTAGTGATGAGATTGTTAAATTATTTTTATATAAAATAAATAAAATAATTATTCCTATATTAAAAAAAATATTAAAACAAACAAGTACACTTGATAAAAAAAATATAATTAAAAAAATAATTTTTTTTATATAAAATAGACTCATTCATGTTTACTATTTTCTTCCCTCCCTTCAAAATCTAACCAAACTAACCCTTTTACTAAGGGAGATTATGAAATCCATCACATTATTACCCTCTTTCCAAATTATCACCAAATAAAGAGTGGTGATTTATACCATTATAAGTGAGACTCACAGTCGTACTAATCCAATCCATCCCTCACGCCAGTAAACAAACATGGCCTCAAAGACTTGTCATATTGCCATTATCATATCATATTGTCAAACATTTATTTGATGTTGATTGCATTATTGGACCGTATTGGTTGGTTTGAGATTTGGGGCATCTCTTATATCATCCGATCACTTAAAAAAATTTAAGGTAATTTCACCTTCTTTTTTTTTCTCGCCAATAAATTGTTATTCTCGGCCCTTTTTCCCCACTTTTCCCAGATTAAAAAACTCCTAGAATAACTTGGGGGAGTTGTTTTTGAAAAAAATTTAGGAGAGTTATTTTAAAAAAAAAATTAGTTTGTTTGGTTGTATATTTTGAAAGTAGTTTTGGAGTTTGAGAGTTTGGGATGATTTGATATTTTGTTGTAATTGAGTAGATGTGTGTGAGAGAAAAAGTGATTGATTGATGTGTAAAAGAGAGAAAGTGATTTTGGAAATTTTTTGAGAAAAATCTCAGACCAAACAATTTTTTGAAAATTGTTTTCTAAAATTCATCTCTAAAACTCAAACCAAACATACCCTTTACGTTTGGTAAAGTTTTAGAATTATGATTTGATAATAGAGTTATATTTTGAGTTTGTGTGTTTTGAAACAACAATGATTCATCTCACTAAAAACATCACCACTAATAGCACTAATGCATTAAAAAAGTAAAAAAAAAAAAAAAACAATTTTTTGAAAATTGTTTTCTAAAATTCATCTCTAAAACTCAAACCAAACATACCCTTTACGTTTGGTAAAGTTTTAGAATTATGATTTGAGAATAGAGTTATATTTTGAGTTTGTGTGTTTTGAAATTATGATTTGAGTGTGAAAATTTTGTTTGGTTATGAATTTTAAAAAGAGTTTAAATTGAGTGATGTGATATATAATATTGAAAAGTGGATGTTTTAAAAAGTGTTTTGAAAAGTGAGTGTGTAATTAATTTTTTAAAACTGTAACCAAATAACACACTCAAACTAAGTGGTAGAATTAAATTTCAAAAGTTCTATCAAACAGAGCCGGAAGTTTTTAGGTCATAATTTGCAAGAACAACCCAGCTAAATTTCCTAATTAACTGAGTGGATTAGAATGTTATTGCTCCATGATTTTAAGCTGCTCGGGAACAAAAGTAACTTTTCCTTGAAATATTTTTTTTTCTTAAAAACATTAAATTTTAATTTTTTTCTTTTCTTTTTTGTATATAGGTTTCATAAGTGTTAATCTAACACCATCCTTAAGCCTCACCCCATCTAAGGCTTCAGTTGGTAAGAATTTTTTTAGGAGTTATTTGAAATGATCTAAATAAGTATATTTTTTTACTTTTTACAAAAAAATATAAAAAAAAATAAAGATGAAATGTAATCCAAAAAAGATAAAAGATAAATAAGTGCACTCCAAAGAACCTCTTAGCTTGGCTTTGACTATTTTACCTTGGGTAAATAAAGTTTCATTTGGAATGAATTTTTGACATTTTTGTAATTTTCTGAAAGAAAATGTAAAATTATTATGGTTTAGATATGACATTTTGTCTTATTAGCTTTTTAGTCTATTTTATCTTTTAATGGCCTAAATTAATCACAACCATTTTGTCAAACGAAAGCTAAATAGATTAAAAAATGATAATACAGTTACGATACAACGGGTTCCAGAGGGAATGGGTCAGACTGGTCCACGCTTCTCCAACCGTTATCTGAATGGCCAAGCCCACCTGAGAACCTGCACAGGAGTTCAACGGGGAACGGGGAGTCCCCCAGTGAACCCTCTGACGAGCAAGTTAGAGAGAGAGAGAGAAGTGAAATGTACAGATATGAATTGGAGATAGAAAACTTAATCTTCTTCCTTCTTCAACGTCTGCTTATATCCTTTGGTAATCATTTCGCCGTCCCTTCCGACCTGCCACCTTGGCCGAAAGTCTATGCTGTAGCTTACCTTATTCAAGGTGAGGGGGTGCTGTTCCGGCGGAGAGGTATTGTCGTAATAAATGCTGCGATGGACTGCATTAATGGCGATGTGCAGTGGCAATAACTTTGCAGATCTTTGTCTGCTGATGTGTCTTGTCCTTTGCCTGCCACATGTCTGAATATCATTGGTTCTTCGTGCCATGTTGGCCTCCAGCTGTTCAGGATTTCATCAGTTGGGTTATGTGTTGAGCTCTAAGTGATGGGCTTGGGTTGTTCATAGTAGGCTATGACCTTTGTAGGGGTGCAACTCGGGCGGGCTCAACCCGAGCAACCCGAGCCCAGCCCGAGTTTTTTTAGGGCTTGGGCAACTATATCTTGTAATCTGGACGGGCTTGGGCAGATTTTTGATGCCCGAATTGCAATTCGGGCCGGGCTTGGGCAGAACCAATGGCCAACCCGAGCAACCCAAACCCGAATTCAATTTAATATATTATATAAATTATGTAATATATATAAATTAAGTAAAAGAGTTAGCCTTAATTTTTATTTTTATTTTTTTTTTTGGTTAGTCTTCTATTAAGTAAAAGAGTTAGTCTTAATTTTTATTTTTTATTTTTTTTTGGTTAGTTTTCTACCATTAGATTAGCATCTTTTATGTCTACCCTTAGATCTACCTACAGGTTTCTGAACTCGGGCAATTTGGGCAATTCGGGCAACCCGAGTTCAAAATACAAAGCTTGGGCCGGGCTTGGGCAACAATGTTCGGGTTCATGGTCGGGCTTGGGCAGTGCCAAATACAATTCGGGTCGGGCTTGGGCAGACCTCCAACCCGACCGAATCCGCCCGAGTTGCACCCCTAGACCTTTGTGGGCCTAACCACGTCAATAGTCCCTCATTCCCAAGTGCAGCTTTAGCCCAACGAAGGGAATACTAATAGAGAAGATGAGGAGGACCGACCGCGAAGGGTGGCCGAGTAGAAGGACCGACCATGAAGAGGATCGACTGCGAAGGGTGGCCGAGTGGATGGGCCGACCATGAGGAGGACCGACCGCGAAGGGTGGCCGAGTGGATGGGCCGACAATGAGAAAGACCGACCGCGAAGGGTGACCGAGTGGGACGGCCGACCATGAGGAGGACCGACCGCGAAGGTTGAGGTGGGGGGCACGGGGCTCAAGAGGCAGCGTGTCACGTGATGACTTGAAGTGGAAAAGACAGGGTAAGAGTGGCAGTGAATCGTGATCATACACGTGGCAGCATCTCGTGGGAAAGGAGATTAGGCGTTGGGCCAGAAATGAAACGATAGGTCATGATGGGTGTTGAAAAGACAGTTTTGGCGGATGTTTTGAAAAGATTTCAAACTGGCGAAAATTAATTGTAACCCTTGAAATACGGGCAAGCCTTGGGCTTTTGGTATTATTTGATTTACCTACTTTTTTGCAAAAAATCAAAACAATCCAAGTGCTAACTCCTTTGTTGCTGACGATACACCTCTGCAACAATTCTTGAATTTTCTTACACCCGCTTCCGAAGCTATTCGTAGGCACACCACAAAGATGGCTCAAGAAGAAGCTGGAGCCGCCAGGGTTGATCCGTTTGGGGATGACGACGCAGTGGAGCTGGTGGAGCAGTACCAGACGGAGAGACAAGTTGAGAGGGTAGAGGAACCAGTGGTACAATCCCATTCTTCCACCATGATAGCGGCTCCGAAGCCAATCAGCCAGGCGGAACCAGATCACTGGCATACGAAGGCTGACAAATCAACGGTTACTACGGCGGACTTGAAGGTTATGCGCGAAAAATACCAGGTTCCCGCTGAAATAGAGTTACTGTTGTCGTCGTCAACGGAGAGGCCATCCGACCCTCGACCGGGGGAGTTTGCCCTGTACGAGAAAGCATTGAAAGGAGGACTGAGGCTGCCGCTTCCGCAGGTGGTGGTTGATGTCCTAAACCGGTTGGAGGTAGCGCCAGGGCAACTAATGTCCAACGCGTGGAAGATTGTGTTGGCCTGTGCAAGCGCGTGGCCGAAGGCGACTGAAGGGGCGGCTATGACGGTGGACGAATTTTTCGCGTGTTATAAGGCCTCAGGACAGTAAGAGACTTAGGTGACGTTGCAGGCGGCGGCAGGGAGAGGTCTAGTGACGGGGCTGCCGTCATCCATTAAGGGTTGGAGGCCGCGATGGTTTTACGTGTCCGCGAATGAAAGGGTTGGGGTGCGTACGGTGTAGAGAGTGCCCAACAAATCTGTAGAGCCAAAACTGGGGGCGGCAGCAGAGGAGGGGATAAAAAAGGTGAAGGCATGGAGGGAGGATGAGGGAGTTAGGTAGGACGAACTCGTTCAACCTTCAGCCTTGTTTGCAGCGGGATTGGGCCCTCAGCCGAGCGTTGGAGATCTGGGACGGGCTGAACTAGAGGCGAGGAGGAAAGCGTAAGAGGCTAAGGATATGGCCATCCTTGCCAAAGCCAATAAGTTCAAGGAGGCGCAGGAAAACCGACCGCATAAGCCGATCGCGCGGGAAAGGATCCGACCGCGCTTAAAATCGCTGGGGGGAAAAAGACTTGGATGAATCTGAGCCACGACCGCCCCTGATTGACCCTTTGAAACAGAGGGCCAAGGAGATGGGCAGTGTGGGGAAGAAGAAAAGAAAGGTGAGGAGGAGTGAGGAGAAGCCTGCCTTGAAGAGGAGGAAGGAGATGACGGTAGAGGAGACCCCCATGGCCCAGGAGGCAGAGGAGTAGGGAGTGGGGGAGGCCCCAGGAAGGGTGGTTGCCTCAGGAATGGTGAATGTCGCCTCAGAGGTCGTGGAGGTCGTTCTAGTAGTGGTGGGGATCGCCCAAGAAGTTCAAGTAGAGGGTAGGGCAACTGGCCCTGAGCCAAGGGTAGAGGAACAGCCCCAGAGGGGTCCTGCGCCCCAAGGAGGGGGGGTCAGGCTGACGACTGCTATCTACCACGCCCGGGCCAGGGCAGCTGCAGATCGCCTTGTGGGGATAATGGATGATACAGCCGTCAGCTCGGCGGCCAGGTTCAATGAGGCTGAGCTGCTAAGGGGGTTATGCTCTGTGCAAATGGAGGTAACTACCTTAGTTGGGGCTCTGCTGAGAAAGGCGGCGACTGCAAAGGTCAAGTCGAATGAGGCCAAGGCTCAACTTGCAAACTTCAAAAGGGAGAGTGTAGGGTGGAAGAAGGCTGTGCGCAGCGCGTGCTTCAGAGGTTGGCAGGAAGCTGAAAAAGCTAAAAAGATGCAAGTGTTGGCCATTGTTCACCACAATGTTGCTGACCGAGCCCAAGCTGAGCTGATCGCAGTCAAGTTGGAGCTAGAAGACGAACGTCGCCAGGTTGTGTCGCTCGAGTTCCAGCTGGCTGGCAAGCAGAAGAAGTTGGAGGAGGCTCAAAGGGCCTGTGCGGTCGCCATTGAGTGGCATGAAGAGGCTATGACCAGCAATGAAGAACTGCGCGCCCAGCAAATCAAAGAAAATGATGAAGTAGACATGAAGATTGTTAGGCTGCAGAAAGAGCTGGAAGACGAGCGTGCAAAGGCAATGGAGGAGAAGGCGAGCCTGCAGAAGGAGTTGGAGGAAGAGAGGGCCAAGACGGCCTCTAAAAAGGCGAGCCTGCAGAAGGAGTTGGAGGAAAAGAGGGCCAAGGCAGCCTCTAAAAGGGCAGCATACCCCGATCTGTATGTCGCAGCAATAGAACAATTCAAAGGGTCAGCTTAATTTCAGATGACGATCGATGCCGCGGTCGCCAGCAGCGTGGCGAGGGAGGTTCCTGGGGGGGCGGGCTCGTCAAGAACGACCGCTGGGGGCAGGACTGAGGCGGAAGTTATTGAGAGCTTCCAGCGGTCAGACTTCTATCAGCACGAAATGGCTGAGTTCTGGGACAATGGCTGGAAAATGTTCAAGCGTAAAGCTAAAGAGTTGTTCCCAGGCTTAGACCTCAGTAGTGTAAAAATTGACGAAGACGATGTGGCCCAGACCCCCCTGGATGAGGGTATTGAAGAAAAAGACCTCGCTTCCAGTGAGGAGGAATAATTTGAAGTGAACAAAATTTGTACAGAGTTGTGTTTGTGTGTTTGTGTTTGTTTGTTTGTTTGTTTTTTTTTTTTTTTTTGGATTGCTGTAAAGAACGTATGTACAAGTTTGTGAATAAAATTTGGGCAGTGTTTTCAGTCCATTACTTTTGCTTGTGCATCTTAAATGCATAAATTATTGTGAAGTGTAAAATGTAAGGAAAACTCAATGTAAAGTGAATTTTAACTTGTAAGAAAAAATCAACGCAGAGTGAAAGTGAGAAAAACTCGATGCAGAGTGAATTTTAACTTGTAAGAAAAATTCAATGCAGAGTGAAAGTGAGAAAACTCAAAGCATAGTGAATTTTAACTTGTAAGAAAAATTCAACGCAGAGTGAAAGTGAGAAAACTCAAAGCAGAGTGAATTTTAACTTGTAAGAAAAATTCAACGCAGAGTGAAAATGAGAAAACTCAAAGCAAAGTGAATTTTAACTTGTAAGAAAAATTCAACGCAGAGTGAAAGTGAGAAAACATGGCCACTGTGCTTATGATCATGAAGTCGCAATGGTGGCTGAGGGCTGGCTGAGGCTTTAAGTGACTAAGTCTGGCCGAGCTCTTCATGCTCAGTCTAGCCAAGGCTTGTTATGCTCAGTCTGGCTGAGGCTTTTTGTGATCAGTCTAACTGACGCTTTTTGTGACTCGGTCTGGCCGAGCTCTTCATGCTCAGTCTGGCTGAGGCTTTTTGTGCTCAGTCTGGCTGAGGCTTTTTGTGATTCGGTCTGGCCGAGCTCTTCATGCTCAATCTGGTTGAGGCTTTTTGTGCTCAGTCTGGCTGAGGCTGCAATCAAAGCGTTATTGGAATACCACAGATAGTTGAGATATAAGCTTGATGTTATACAAAGTGTAGCCCATTAGATCATAAATTTACACCATATGTGGAGAAAATGAGAACATTCAGGTGTGCAGATTGTCAGAAAGAACATACATCAATTGGACAATACAAGAAATACAAGTTTTATTGAAAATAGCGCTTCAAATGCTCAGCATTCCAAGGATGGGGGAGGTCTTGACCTTCCATGTCCTGAAGTCGGTAAGTGCCTGGGCGAGGTCTGGCTTTAACAACGTAAGGTCCTTCCCATTTGGCTGCCAGCTAGCCCTCAGCCGGATTCTTGGTGGCGAGGGTTGCTTCGTGTAAGACAAGGTCCCCTGCGGCGAACTCCCTTCGTCGGACTCTGCGGTTGTAGTGTGTTCTCATTTTCTGTTGGTAGGAGGCCAGTCTGACAGCAGTAGTTTCTCTGAGTTCATCAATTAGGTCAAGGTCTGCCCGACAGAGCTCTTCGGCCAGTTCTGGGTTCGGGTGTAAAACCCTTGGGTTAGGTAGGCCTACTTCCACTGGGATGACCGCCTCAGCGCCGTATGTTAAGCAAAAGGGGGTCTCCCTAGTGGGAGTCCGAGCGGTAGTACGGTAAGCCCAGAGTACATTCGGTAATTTCTCAGCCCAAAGTCCTTTAGCAGCTTCTAGCTTAGTTTTGATGATCTTCCGAAGAGAACGGTTGGTGACCTCGACTTGGCCATTGGCTTGGGGATGACTTGGGGAGGAGAAACAGGGTTGGATCTGGAGGTCTGCACAGAACTTCCTGTACTTGGCGTTGTCGAATTGTTTGCCGTTGTCGGAGACGATGGCTTGAGGGATGCCAAACCTGCATACGATCGACTGCCAGATGAATTTAGTTGTGTTCCGTTCGGTAATGGTGGCAAGGGGTTCTGCTTCTACCCACTTGGTGAAGTAATCAATGGCGATAATCACGAACTTGGTCTGGCCTCGGCCGGTGGGAAGTAGACCAACTAAATTGATCCCCCATTTGGCGAACGGATAAGGATTGCAAAGTGTGATCAACTCGGTGGCAGGAGCATGGGAGATGTTGGCAAAGCGTTGACATTTATCACATTTGAGCACGAAGTCGGTCGCATCTTGGTTGAGGGTAGGCCAGAAATATCCAGTGCGAAGTATTTTGTGGGCTAGGGACCGGCCGCCTGAATGATTACTGCAGATACCCTCATGGATTTTTCGCATCACATAGGTTGCTTGAGCTGGACTGAGGCATTGCAGATACGGGTGTGAAAAACCACGTTTGTACAAGACACCATTGACGAGGATGTAATTGGACGACCGGGCCTTAACTTTTGCGGCTTACTGTTGGTCATCTGGAAGTTCCCCCGTTGTCAAAAATAGAAAGATGTCCGACGCCTAAGGGATGGGCTCATTCTGGAGGAACTGCACTTCTTGCTGATCGGGAGAAATGGCAGGGTGGGCTAGGTACTCGAGACGGACACCATGACTGAGGTCGGACTGGTCTGCAGAAGCCAACTGAGCCATCTTGTCTGCCTTTAAGTTTTTCGCCCGAGGAATGTGCTGGATGTGGAAGGTATTGAAGAGGCGAACAAGGGGAAGGGCAATATCCCTGTAAGCCTGCATTGTGTCCTCCTTTGCATCGAATTCCCCCATAATTTGTCCGACAATGAGCTGGGAGTCGCTGAAAACCCGGATGTGGCTGACAGCAATGTCCCTGGCTAGGCGGAGCCCTGCTATCAATGCCTCATATTCGGCCTCATTGTTACTGGCATCGAACAAGAAACAGAGAGCACATTTGAAATAACCACCCTCAGAGGCGGTGAGGATGAGGCCAGCCCCACTGCCTTCTCTGCAGGATGATCCGCCGACATTAAGAGTCCAAGAATGAGGGTCCTCTGGCTCGGTAGGGGTTGGTGGGGGTGGAGTGGCCGTGGTTGGGGTAGGATTAGTGAACTCCAGGATGAAATCGGCGACAGCCTGCCCTTTAATTGCTGTTCGAGGTCGGTAAGAGATGTCAAATTGGAAATAACCACCCTCAGAGGCGGTGAAGATGAGGCCAGCCCCACTGCCTTCTCTGTAGGATGATCCGTCGACATTAAGAGTCCAAGAATGAGGGTCCTCTAGCTCGGTAGGGGTTGGTGGGGGTGGAGTGGCCGTGGTTGGGGTAGGATTAGTGAACTCCAGGATGAAATCGGCGACAGCCTGCCCTTTAATTGCTGTTCGAGGTCGGTAAGAGATGTCAAATTGGTTGAGTTCCACCGACCATTGCATGAGTCTGCCAGAGAGCTCTGGTTGCTGCATTACCTTCTTCAAAGGTTAGTCGGTGAGGACCACTATGGAATGGGCTTAGAAGTAAGAACGGAGTCGTCTAGAGGCGGTGACCAAGGCCAAGGACAATTTTTCTAACAATGGGTAATTTTGCTCGGCGCCCCTGAGGGCCCGACTAATGTAGTAGACCGGCCGTTGAACAGAGTCGTCTTCCCTGATAAGAGCTGCACTGACTGCGGTGCTTGAAACGACTAAGTAGAGGAAGAGGGGTTCGCCAGTGATTGCTTGAGAAATGAGGGGGGTTGGCTATGCACTGCTTCAACTGCTGAAAGGCCTTTTCGGACTCGGTCGTCCATTCAAAAGTTTGTCGAAGAACTTTGAAGAAGGGGAGGCACTTATCCGTTGCGCGGGAAATAAAGCGGTTGAGGGCGGCAACTCAGCTAGTAAGTCTCTGAACTTCCTTAACCGTTCTGGGTGACTGTATTTCGATCAAGGCCTTGATCTTTTCAGGGTTAGCTTCAATGCCCTGCTAACTGACCATGAAACCCAAGAACTTCCCAGATCCTACGCCGAAGGCGCACTTCTCCGGGTTGAGCTTCATTTGGTAC